AGAGGCTGTGGTGCAGAGGGGATATGCTCCTGGGACTGCTTTGCAAATGGTGGAACGTTCTGGAAACAGAGGCGGGCGCCCGCTGCTCATTGCAGCGATTGTTTGTGTTTGGGTGAAAGGCACACGGGGCTCGGGGAGGGTGGCCTGGTTTGGGGACAGGTTTGGGGACAGGGGTGCAGAGCGACAGAACCCTGTGGGCGGGGCCTGCGTTGCACGTCCGTCTGTCCCTCCGTCCAAGAGGGAAGGGAAATGGGCAGCAGTTCTGGGCACACGTTTCCCTGGAGCACATTTCCTGAGCTACAAAGCAGGGGTGAGGTCGGCTCCGGGGGGCGGGGAGCGTGTCCCCAAGTTCGTGCAATGCAAGGACCAGGCCCCCCGGAAAACTTTGGATCCCAGTTTGCAGACCAGGGGACGAAGCGTCTGGCAGCAGCGTGAAAGGAAGGTGCCCTCGGGAGGGGGAGGGGAGGGGAGGGGAGGCGGAGGGGCCTCACTGCCTTTTCGTTCCCCGTGTGGCCACATTCAACGTTGTCGTTTCTGTCCCTTAACGGGAGGCAGTGTGTCTTGTGTGTTCCGTGTAGCCGCGTACGTATCGGGGTGTTACCTTCTCAAGAGCAAATCGGCACCTTCCAAACACCTCGCAGACCACCTCCACCAGGAAGCCCTCCGGGAGGGCTCACACGGGCGCCTGTGTTTGGTCCCTGGGGCTGCCTGCCCCTCCCGTTCCCGTTCCCCCTTTGCAGGGGCCGTAGACTTGTGGGGCCCCTCGTCCCCTAGCCGGCACCCAGCAGCCTTTGCAGAATGTGTGGATCCTTCACGGGTTTCCAGAACATTCCAGGGTTCGTCTGCACGGCCGCTGGAGGCAGCTGAGATCCCGGAAGGCTTTCTTTCTCCCTTCACAAGGCGACGGGACAATAACCTTCCTTAGGAGGCGTGTTGCGCGGAGAGGCATCGAGTGGCGGGAAAGAGCAGATAGTCATTTGACAAAGGCGACCCTGCGCGGGGCTCACCGTGGGATGCCCTTTGCACTGAGGCCCCCGAGGGGCTTAGGAAACGGATGGGGCACGGATGGGGCAGACAGAGGGCAGTGCCAGGAGCCAGGAACGCCCCCCCCCCCGTCTCATGTCCCCTGCGACTCACGTTCTCTGTGTCCCCCCAGGTCAGCGTGACTTCGATTTGGCCGACGCCCTCGATGACCCCGGTGAGTGACCGTATTTCTCGGCGGCTTTGGTTCTGAGGTTCTTTTCCTTTTCTTCCTCGTCCTAAGTACGAATTGGAAAATATATCCAAAGCACGTAAGATTCGGTGCCTTGAGATTTTCCATTTCTTTTCTTTTTTTTAAAATGGTTTATTTATTTCCAGGAGAGAGAGAGAGAGATACAGTGTGAGCAGGGGAGGGTCAGAAAGAGAGGGAGTCACAGACTGAAACAGGCTCCAGGCTCTGAGCTGGCAGTCAGCACAGAGCCCGACGCGGGGCTCAAACCCGCGAACCGCGAGATCATGACCTAAGCAAAAGTCGGACGCTTAACCGACTAAGCCACCCAGGCGCCCCGAGATTTTCCGTTTCTATTAGGAGGTGAACGATTCTTTGAGCTGTGGATAAATCCTCGATGTTCATTCAATTTGTTTTCTCTCTTTGTTCACAGAACCCACAAAGAAGCCAAGCTCGGGTGAGTGGCCATGAGGCCGGCCAGGAGTTATGCCAACCTGGGAGTCTGGGCTGTTTCTGGGGGGCTGCTGAGGGCGCAAACGGGGTGCAGACGGTCAAGGCAAAGCCGTCGTTGGGGCGGTGCAAATCAAAGCCTCAGGGAGTCTCACCACATCCCTACCAGGAGAACTGGAATCAAAATACGTAAAATAGCGAGTGTGGGTGTGCATGTGGAGAAATCAGAGCCCCCACCCTCCTGACTCCGTGCACGTGCTGGGGGCAATGGAAGATGCTGAGGGTACCGTGGAAAATACTGTGGCCTCAAAACAAATAGCTAAAAACAAATTTCCCTGGAATCCAGAAATACCACTCCTAGGTGTAGACGGCAAGAGCTGAACACAGGGCATCCAGCAAACGTGGACTGCACATCCACAGCTCTGTGGTCACATAGCAAGAAGGTGGTGGTAACCTAATGCTCGTGGAGGGAGGAGAGACGGGTGGGGGCAGGGATGGGTACATGGTGGATGGATGGGTGGGTGGGTGGGTGGATGGGTGGATGGATGGATGGTTGGTTGGACAGGTTGATGGATGGATATATGGATAGATAATTGGATGGATGGGTGGGTGGATGGATGTGTGGATTTGTGGTTGGATGGATGGATGGATGGATGGATGGATGGATGGATGGATGGATGAACGGACAGATTGGTAGATGTGTGGGTGGGTGGATGGAGGGATGGATGGATAGTTGGATGGGTGGATGGGTGGATTGACAGGTGGACGGATGGATGGATGGATGGATGATGGATGGATGGATGGATGGGTAGTTGGATGGATGCATGGAGGGATGAGTGGATGGTTGGGTTTGTGTGTGTGTGTGTGTGTGTGTGTGTGTGTTTGTGTGTGTACACGTGCATGTGTACATGCGCCCAGATGGGGTTTTTCTTTACGTTCTAGTTTTGAGATTTTTACATTGAGAGGTTCTGGAAGGTTCCACTGGTCTGTGACCATCTAGGACACATGGGCAGCAGGTGTGAGGGACCTGGAGCATCTATTGCCGTGTTGATGCTCCTGTGTCACAGGCTGCTGCTGACAGTGGCTACTTTTCTCTGCTAAACGTGCACTGTCATTTTCCCCTCAGATATCTACCCCAAGCCGAGGCCCCCCTACTACCCCCAGCCGGGCATGCCCGACAACAGTGGAGGTAAGTCGTGTGCTCCCTCAGGGTCCTCCACACGCTGCTTGGACAGAGCCTGCTTTGTCTTCCTGGTGGGTTTCCTCAGCTGCCTTTGAAATGGGGAACGGGTCTCCCTCTGCAGGAAACCCCCTCGCACTGCCAAGCAGGGTGGGGGCTGGAAGGTTGACCCCACATCACGCATTTCATTCCCTGTTTCTCTGACTGCTGCAAAATAGGGTCTTCTTGCTGGATACGGTACGTTATTGTGATGCATTTTTAATTAGGCTGAGGACAAGTTCCTCTTTTACATGTTTGCATGGTTCCGAATGATGCATCCCCGAAAAAACCCACCTGTGTGTGCGGTTTATTGTATGGCATTTATCCGCCGTGTCTGTGGAGCTTCAAACGCTTGGAAGACGAGCTTCCCGTAGATTTCTTTAAAAAATTTTTAAGTGAAAGGAAACACTGGCGGACAACATTGGTAAACTCCTTAGCAATCAGAAAGTGCTGAAAACCTAAAAGCAGACCAGGCAGGGCTGAAATGAAGCAGGGCTACGTGAAGGGCTTCCGGAAGCAGTCCCAGAATCCCTTTCTGGTGCTGAGCTGGATAGAAATTTATCTCCTCCCAGGAGGGGTCACTCAGTGTCTAGACGAGGGTCCAAGGAAGCTGTTACCTAGTTGAAAAGCAAAAGTAACACCCATGGCCTCAGTTAACAAGTGCACACGTCACCATTTACCCTTGCCTTTTAAAAATTTCTGTAGTATTAACACTCCAAGTGCAAGACCCTTTCCTCCAACTTACTCCCCCAGGAATTTACTTCAAAAATTTTTTAAATGTTTTATTTTTAACTTATTTTTTTTAATATTTATTTTTGAGAGAGAGGCAGAACGTGAGCTGAGAGGTGCAGAGAGAAGGAGACTGAGAATCTGAATCAGTAAAATGTTTTTATTAATTTTTGATGGATAGAGCATGAGCTGGGGAGGGGAAGAAAGAGAGGGAGACACAGAATTGGAAGCAGGCTCCAGGCTCTGAGCTGTCACCATGGAGACCAACACGGGGCTTGAACCCACAAACCCTGAGATGATCATGACCTGAGCCAAAGTTGGATGCTTAACCACCCAGGCGCTCCTCCACCCGGAAGCTAATACCACTCCTAGGTATAGACCAGCAGCATGATTCACAATAGCAAAAAGTTGGCGATATGCTAGTGTCCATGGAAAGAGGAAGGAATGGGTGGGTGGATGGATGGTGGTGTGGAGAATGGGTGGATTATTGAATGGACGGATGGATGGATGAATGGATGGAAAGATGGATGGAGGGATAGATGGTTGGATGGATGAATGGATGCACGGATGGTTGGACAATGGATGGTTGGATAGATAGATTGGTGGTTGAGTGTGTGTGTGTGTGTGCGCGCGCGCATACGCAAACGCCCAGATGGGGTTTTTCTTTAAATTCTACATTTGAGATTTTTACATCGAGAGGCTCAGGAAGGTTCCACTGGTCTATGACCTTCTATGACACATGGGCAGCAGGTGTGAGGGACCTGGGGCATCTATTGCCGTGTTGATGCTCCTGTGTCACAGGCTGCTGCTGACAGTGGCTACTTTTCTCTACTAAACGTGCACTGTCGTTTTCCCCACAGGTATCTACCCCAAGCCAAGGCCCCCCTACCACCCCCAGCCGGGCATGCCCGACAACAGTGGAGGTAAGTCGTGTGCTCCCTCAGGGTCCTCCGCACGCTGCTTGGACAGAGCCTGCTTTGTCTTCCTGGTGGGTTTCCTCAGCTGCCTTTGAAATGGGGAATGGCTCTCCCTCTGCAGGAAACCGCCTCACACTCCCAAGCAGGGGGGTGGAAGGTTGACCCCACATCACGCACTTCATTCCCTGTTGCTCTGACTGCTGCAAAATAGGTCTGCCTGACGGTTACTGTACGTTATTGTGATGCATTTTTAATTAAGCTGAGGACAAGTTGCTCTTTCACATGTTTGCACGGTTCCAAATGATGCGGCCCCAAAAAAGCCCACCTGTGTGTGCTGTGTGTCGTATGTCATCTATCCTCCGTGTCTGTGGGGTTTCAAATGCTTGGAAGACGAGCTTCCTGTAGATTTCTTTAAAAAATTTAAGTGAAAGGAAACATTGATGGACAACGTTCGTAAACTCCTTAGCAATCACAAAGTGCTGAAAACCTAAAAGCAAGACCAGGCAGTGCTGAATGAAGCAGGGCTAAGGGAAGGGCTTCCAGAAGTGGCCACAGAGTCCCATTCTGGTGCTGACCTGGATAGAAATTTATCTCCTCCCAGGCCGGGGGTTGCTAAAAACTGGGACGAGGGCCCAAAGAAGGTATTACCCAATTGAAAAGCAACAAACAGTAATACCTGCAGCCTCAGTTAACAGGTGCTCACAACACTACTTACCCTGTTTTAAAAATTTCTGTCCAGTATTAACATGTCCAAGTTTATGATCCTTTTCTACAATTCCTCTTGGAATTCACTTCTTTAAAATGTTTTTAAAATGTTTTTATTTATTATTGAGAGAGGGGGGGGG